CTTCCGCAACTACTCTTCAGAAACTATTTCGCGATCTTCAGAAACTATTTCGCAATCTTGAGAAACTATTTCACAATCTTCAGAAACTACTTTGCGATCTTGAGAAACTATTTCGCGATCTTCAGAAAGTTTTTTTTCTTGTTTTGCATTCTTCAGAAAGTATTCTTCAACAACTTCCACACTGCATCCAGATTGCATGAATGGAGCACGGGGGTAGGGGATGGGTGGGTGGGCTTATGGACGCACCCTGCGACGGCTACTTTACATGCCTATAGCATTCTCCAGAAAACATTTCGCGAACTTCAGGAAACGTATTTTGCATGCTGCGGAAAGTGTTTCTTCCGAAGAATACTGTATAGTTTCCTCGGAAGGAAGGAAGCCGTAAAGTTTCCGAAGATCACCTTTTAGTTGCCGAAGGATTAGTTTCCGAAGAACACCGTTTAGTTTTCGAATATAACTTTGACCAAATTCATCATTTAGTCGATTTGCAAGCAGCTTTTGTGGTGCTGCCTCAGGCTTCAATGGCACTATTTTTGCCTATGGGCAGACAGGCATGGATGCAACTGCTAGACAAAAGTCGTGGAAGGGCACTCCTTTATTGAATGATCAACACATTGGCCCATCTTCCTCCTACCCATATGAGCCACAAGCAAAAACCTAGCATGCAGTTTTTATACAGAATGGTCAATTTTGGAGTGAGATTTTGCACATTCCTTCGAAAACGACACCGGAAACCCAAAAACGAAGCCTCTGGATTCGGAAAAGTCAATTTACAAGAAATGGAGAGACAAGGGCGCTGGAAGCGGACATTGTTTGCTTTGCGGTGTTCTCCCAAATCCCTCCTGGTTCAGTGATTGGCAATGCTGCAGGTGCCGGCAAGTCACACACCATGACTGGCCCCACGGACGGACCGCCTGAGCTCCAAGGCTGTCCGCAGCGCCAACGGAGAAACAACACTTTGTCAATCGTCAATCATTGCTATTAGGTTGGACATCGCTTCTAGGTGGGGGGGCATCGCTACTAGGTTGGAGGCAATCGCTATTCGGTTGTAGGTCATCGCTATGGTAGGTTGGAGGCTATGGCTACTGTTTGCTCAGCAAGGCGTGGCTCAATAGGTGCTTTGCAATAAAAATATGTCTCTATCTCTATGTATATATGTATCATACATATGTATGTATGTGCGTATGTATGTAATGTAATGTAATGTAATGTAATGTGATGTGTAATGTAACGTAATGTAATGTAATGTAATGTATGTATGCATGTATGTATGTAGGTTATTTTGTGTACGTTTTTTTTTGGTGATGGTTTGTATTATGTATGTAATTGTAATTGTAATTGTAATTGTAATTGCAATGTAATGTAATGTAATGTGATGTATATAATGTAATGGAATGGAATGTAATGTAATGTAATGTATATAATGTAAAGGAATGTAATGGAAGGATGAAATGTATGTATGTTTTAATAGGGAGACCCCAACCAATGTTGTTTTTTTACTTCTTCCTAGGGGTCTTTGGGAGGTCTCCCTATTCTAATACACACCCAGCTAGATTTGTGAGCTTTGCAGACACAGTGTGATTGCCACGATCAGCAGGCTTACTGCCGCGCTCTTTTAACCACATCTTCAACAACATTGCCGGCACCCCCAGGGCTAGATCAAATAGTTTGGAGGAACTGGAGCTGGCAGCGTGCTCACATGGTAAGGTTGTGCTGTAATTGTATAACTTTAGGGCCACACATGTCCGTGTGGCTGTTTGCAACACCAGATCCTCCAGCATGTCCATGCGGCATATTGTTGTGCAGGAAAGTGAAGGGGAGTGATACGACGAACTAACATGCATGTGCTTGTACCAGGAAACTTCAATTATGCTCATCAACCACGCATCAGAATCAAAATCAAGTTAAATTGATCAACCTTACCGACAACACCGACACATGATTCTGCCGTGGGCCCAAGGACACCACTTCTCAAGACACCAAGTGCCCTTGACATTGGCGGCGGCCATGAGGGGCTGCATTTGCTTCGCTGCAAGATTGTTATTTTGCATCTAAGGTTTCATACAGCATTCTGATCGATGTCGAAGCAAGAATGCAGCGCAGGTACTTGGTTCGTGGTTCCTACTTGGAGATTTACAATGAGGTGGGGTTGAACACCACTGAGGGCCAGTTTTGAGACCTTGTTGGCGAGTTGAACATTTGAGAGCCTTTGCCTGACGCAGGAGATCAGAGACTTGTTGGCCAAAAACCCTAAGCAGCGTTGCGAACTCAAGGAGTGAAACGGGCCACATGAAACTTGAACTCTCCAGGTGGCCCTTTGATGGTCAAATTAATGTTTGAACACAATCCACCAAAGAAATTCGATTTGTATGTCGTTTGGCCTGGTCGTCCTTTGTGGATGTCCAAGTTTGTCATCAAAAGGGTGTTACTCCAGCGCCTTTCGAGGCATATACACAGATGAAAGTTCTAGCTATGTTATCTCCTCGTGAACAAACACTCTCATTTCTCTTCTCTTATATAACATCACGGGCGGCTGCCAAACATCAGTTAAAGCAATTTGGGATAGCACACAATCTATGGAGTGCGAATTTTGTGGACAGATTGACACCCATCTCCACCGACTCCCTTTTTCAACATGTCCGTGCTCGCCCTGTGGAGGCTATCTCTATGTTGCAGGAACATCAACATTTGCTTGGTTCCCGATTACTTCGGTTCACCCACAGCAAATTCTCTATTGCGCTTGGCGCAAACAAATCTCTTGAATCCCATCAATAGAGGTGAACATGAACCGGTTGCCTGGATACTGTATCAGATTTCTTCTCCCGCCAAATCCTTCGTCCGCTGGTAGCCACCCATACAGATTCCTGCTTTGTCATTAAAGTGGTGGACTCAATTGCCAATCAAACGGTTGATCCTCACACATATAATTTGGCACACTATGACCTCGTGCAATAAACGTCTAGTCACATATATCATAGTCATAGACCCCTTAATGAAGCTACAGATCCACATGATTCGTATGACATTTCAGGAAATGCAGTGGCCGTCGAGACGGCTTATTATCCATCGTCAAGACTTACCACTCATGGGAGAAATAACTTCGGCAATCACGGCAATCAGTATACATTGTGCTCGACAACAACATGCTTTGCATTTAGTGTATGGCTATTTGGTAGAGTTGAATGCCTTACAGTCCAGTTTACATAAAGCTAGAAAAGGAACACAATGACGCAGCAGAAAATATGCAGGGAGGCGTTGACGAGGTTGCTTCGACTCAAGATGCTTTACTCTCATGGCGTTGAGACAGACCTTTGTGGATTTTTTCTGGGGTACTTCTACCTGTAATCGCTCAAGTGTGCCCTGCGGGGGCGACACTAGCACACTGTGCGTGGAAATTGTTCTAATGCCGATTTCCCTTTGGTAAGACACAACCATAGGATTACACGGAACGAGCTCATCATACATTTTACATTATATGCAGGCAGAGCACAGTTTGGCTGCAGACAACAAAAAGGGTCCAGCACAACCTTTTGATCTTAGTCCATCCGAAGTGGCGTTACAGAAACCTGAGGTCCGTAGTTTGTGGGCGTCAAGCAAACAACTTTCCAGCAGTGGTTAAGAGGCACCACAGGCCAACAACTCTATCCCAGGTATAAGAAAACAGGAGCCTCGCTCGTTCGTCTTGGCTATCACAGGAACCTTGTTGGGGGTCTTGCGTCTCGTCCAAACCTGCCACAAAAAGAATCGGCTCTAAGAATGATCTCTCACTATTCATCGCAACCAGGAAGGCCATATCCGTTGAACATGCGGGTGCCTTTTCAGCCAAATTTTGACGAAGCCAAAATTACAGAGGTTTTCGCGGCAGATGGATATTCCCTTTGAGGCTCGACATAATCTGTATCAAAGGGTTCGCAAGTGCTGCATACGTAACCAAGCTGCTCTTGAGGCAGTGCCAATTCCTGCTTGAGTTCTTGAATGCACAAATTGAACACATACTTTCGTTCGTTAATTCGCGTCGCCGCGTCACGTGTCTAGCACACCTGGACCTCGGTTCTTCCACATGACTACAGCGGGTTTTGCATGTTTCTTTGTTACAGTGTTTGTGTACATTCTACCCTCCTATACCCCCCTTAGGATTGGAGCGCAAGTTGTGTGTGGTCGGCGTGCATTTTGCTAAACTTCCTTGAGCCTCCGGTAGTTGCTAAGATGCTTGGTGACATGAGGTTCTGTTGGTATCCGGGGATCCAGAAAGCAGAAAAACTAAAAGGGTATTCGACTGGCCCACAGGTGTCACGTGCTGTTGCAGGGGACCCACGGTGTCACTCGTTTTGATGAGTAATGTTTCTGTTTTTTTCATCAGGTCTTTTGGAGTGGAGGGATGCTGCATTTGCTGCATGTGCTGCATGCCTTGGCCAGGACCACCCCCAAGGCGGTGTGTACGTGAAGGACCTGTCAGCCTTCGTGGTGAAGAACACCGAGGAGATGCACCAGGCAGGTGTGCCGTTCACCCTGCCTTGAACACATAATTATAAATGTTTGAACGGATGCTTGTCGCTTGCCTTAAGGGCCTGTACATTTTTCTATATGTGGCAGTCACCCTCTTCACTCAATCCTTCTTTGAGCTTGATGAACCACCAACTGATTCCGACAAGGTCAAGTGGAGCCTTGTCCGTGATCAGTGGTCGCCCGACACTCCCATGACATTGCCATTTCAAAGACATGACATACATATATATATATACATAGGAACTACAGACACAGTTCCATCAGTTGGTTTTCAGGCTTTCGTAGGGCAGTCAATGTGGGTCAAAGTCTGCAACTTCAGGGATTTTGCTTTATGTAATCCCCTTAGTCCTCACTTTTTGCAGGATTGGTTCCTTCAGGAAGGAGCCCATGAGGCTTGGTGAGGCTTAGAGTTCCTTAGCATTTTCCATGTCTTCCCTCATGCAGTGGAACCGCCCCCACCTATGAACTACCACCTTCGTGCCACCTCTGGTGCCATGGAGCTTTTCACCTGGACGGCTCCCACACTGGCCTTGCCACTGGCTGTGCCACCCGCGCTGGACCGACGCGACCCCGGCCTTCACGGGCCATGCAGTTTTGTGGGTATGGGCAGACCGTTGAAAAGGACGAGGCGCAGAGAGAGGCTGTTTGGAATTTTGAGAAGAGGTTGAAGCAGAATGAGGAAGACTGGCATAGGTAAGTCATGAGAGAAGTCATACCGTCATATATTTGCAAGTGGGGGGATAGGACATTAAGCTGTTCTTTCAGCCAAACCTGAATTAAAGTCCCCTTTCCCTAGACCGGAGCTTTCTCAAGAAGTTTACTGTGAGCCATCGGGATTTGTTCCACTATTGTGCAGCTCCTTGGCTTTGCCCGTCCAGTCTTGGAGCTGAGTGGCTGGCAGCCCTGCAGGTGGGCTTGAGCATGCTGGGGTTTTGTAGAGGAAAGCATTGTTGCCGCTGCTGTCACCTCGCATCTCACTCCTTTTTCACAACATTTTTGGTGTTTTGGTTGTTCTTGGCTATCATGGAGCTAAGCAGAATAGGCGAGACCACTAGAGCCTGATTGATGCCCCTCAGACAAGATGATTCAATAAACATCGTACCAGTCGTACCATGTCCGACCATGTCCTGCCTTGGAACGAAGCCCTCAACAGTCTTCAGCCCTGGAGGTGGCGGTTGCCTTGCGCGCGAAGAAGGCCAAGGCAAAGCAGAAGCCTTTGAAGCCGAAGCCCGTGAAGCCAACAGCGAAGCGCTCCAGCCGGGTTTTCAGCAAAACTAAACGCAGGAGAGGTGAGACATACTCACGTCCAGTCATGCCTACACTTATGCCTACACATACCACACGGAAGACTCAGTTTGCAGATTCGTGTTCCCCCTTTGTTGACTGCTTCACGTGCTCAAATTGACCTTCCTCATCTTCCCTGCATCTACCCAGGCCCAAATGCAGTGCGGGTGTATCCAGCCGAGGCAGCAACGCCCTTGGGGCTGACCTCGACCACCGTAGCTGATTTTCTTTTGTTTTCATGAAACATGGCGAAGAACAGAGCATGTCTTTGCAATATGTTGCTGGCTGTCCGGAAGTCTGATGGTGGGCTGGCTGAATATCATGCGATTGTCAGGACGTCTTCTCCCTAGATGTGGAATGTGTGGCGGTGGGCAAGACGCATGAGAAGAGTGACCGAATGCCCTGCTCCTATGCGTTGGTGGATGGTCATGGAAGGGTGGTGAAAAGGACCTTGATCCAGCCATCCAAACCAGTGGCTTGGAGCAGGTTTGAAACTGCAAACATACCAATTTTCTTGGCCACTGTACGCCTGTAATTAATTGTCATTACGTCCTGAGTCTCGCACAATTTAAGTATAAGCCTATAAGCGTTTCTTTTTCGACGATTTGGGGGGGCACTCATGTCTCGTTGTTCTTCCTTTCTCTGACCTTGCAAGCTACAGACTTCGTTGGACATTTCTGAGTAGAACAGTTGCAAGCCTGCACAGTGACATACAGCACTTTCCTGGCAGTACTGTTGGTTGCAGAGCTCCTGTCACTTGACGAGGTAGTCAGCTACTTGACGCCCTTCACAGGGCTCAGGGAGGGCGATCTCTCTGAGACAAAGGCCCTGAGCCTTGATCGAGCGCGGAGGGAGCTTCAGGAGTTGCTACCGAGGAGACTGCGCAACAGAGGGACAGAGAGAGAGAGAGAGAGATAGAAATATATATTATATATATATATAGATGCAGAGTAATTAAGTGAGAATGACAAGAGACATGGGGAGCGAGTGAAAGTGTAGGAGGTACCGCTTCTTTGCAGTTTGGTGAAGACATCCCAGGGATGCCAAACGTTACGTAGTTTTCGTCACTGTAGTGGTTTTGCTACACAGTTCCCAGTAGATTGGGGCTGAATAATTCTTGAGGTGAAAACGAGCAACCTGTGGACCAGTGGTATCTATTTTGAGCCTTGTTGCCAAGCACATGGAGTGAAGGCCAAATCCCAAAGTGTCGGCTTAGATACAAATACGAGGATACAGAGTTTATCACAACTGGTCTCCTGATACTTTGCCTATCTTTGCACGCTCTCATGAGACCCCGGCCTTTAGAGCCTAGATTTCTGCACCGAAGAGCTGCTGTTGACTCTTTCAGTGGTTCGATTATGTTGGGTTTTCTGTTGACTCTCTCACGTGAACCAACCGCAACGTTGCAAGGAGGGCGATTTTAGTTGGTCAAGAGCCGCAAGGCGACATCGACTGGATGAATTTGAAAGAGAACCAGGAGCCAATTCGATCGTTTTAGTCCGAGTTGCTAAATACGTTGCGCAATATATATTATATATATATACCTTGGGCAAACTGTGTTTATTTTGACGGTCTCAAGTGTCCATAACTTGAAGTGGGGCACTTGCCAGGGTTGAACATCCGAAGTTGTGTGCACCACGAAGTGAAGGTGCAGGACTGTTCTCCAGCTGCAGGACTTTACTGGGACAGTGAATCTCTCAGAAGTCTTCACCAATGACCAAGGGATGGTTTTCTCCCTGCGTCACGAGGCAAGGGCAGTGCCGCATATAAAGAACGTTGAAGCAGTCTTGGAGATAGGATTGTAAGCGTCAATATGTGTCTGGGAATGGAAATATAGAGCCGTTGGGGCCGTTGTGGAAGAAATTCGTTCCCCCTCTCTCCGAATCGGCGGCCTGGTTCTCGCATGGTCAGAATGTAGCACGCGCTTGGTGGTGGTTGAACAGATGCAAAGCGAGAAGGTTGGGGTGCTAGTAGGAACAAGAAGCTACTAGGAACAAGTGCATCGCTTCTAGTAACAAGTGCCTTACTAGTAGTAACAAGAAGCTATTAGGTAAATGGGACTCTTTGTGATTACAAGTGTCTTCCATCCTCCGTTGATTCTCCTAGGCGAGGGTGCTGCTGGGGCTTGAGCCGGCATCTTGGTCGCGAAGGATCAGCTGTAGCCAACACTGGAGATGAATGTAAGCGGTTGTTTCTTAAGGCACAAATGGTTATAAACCGCATGAAACTTGGGAAGATTTTGAAAAAAAAATATAACAAAGTATCCAAGATTTTGATCCGTTGTTGGCTCGTGAATACTGCGAGCTTTCCTGAAGAAAGCAGGGCCGCTTTCTCAGCTTGGCTAAGGACTCTGCTGTGCACGACCCCAGCTGGGACGCGATTCTCGGTGCCGGGCCAGGGGTGTGGGATGCAGAATGGTTGCGGAATGTTGGTATGGTGGAAGTCAGTGAAAGTATCCACGAATATCCACGAATCGCATTGGTCAGGCGGTGCATTGGTTTTTGCAATAATTGATAATTGTTTGAGAGCAAACTGGGCGTATCGGTGTATGACTACAAGCAGCTTATGACAACCAACCGCAAGCAAAGATGAACGTCCTATCTTCCTTTGTGATTTGGTTATGGTGCTGGAAAGCACCACCGCATTGCAAAGCATTTTTGTGATTGGTTGCATTGGCTGTGATAGTCGCTGAGCTGAGCCAACTAACCAATGATATGAGGAAAGTCTCCATCGAGCTCTATCGACTAGCAGCCTCTTCCAGCTCCAAGGAGCATATAGAGACATCTTCAACATGAAGAGCACCTCACGCTGCTCAACCAGCTGCGCAACGAACCGCACAACGCATTCTTCATCTACTTTTGGCTTTTCCTCACCGAGTCCATTCGTGGAAATATGAATAAGCCTCCTTTGCATAGCATGCATCATCGATTTATGGGTCTCTTGTAACTGGGAATGCCACGCCAATAGTTTGTGCTCAGAGGCCTGGAAAAACATGGAGGGCTGGCCTGAATGGCGTTCACATGCTTGAGTCGCTGATGCAGCGAGGTAGGGTTCGTTGACAGTTGTTTCACCAGCCAATGTGGAGGTTTCCTTTCCCTCACATTTGCCTGTGTGGAAGGAATCTCATTTTCCCCTATGTATCAAGATACCTATACTATTAGGCCTTCTGTTGATATATTCAATGAATCATTTGGTTCAAAACTGACGTGTGACACACTCTGCCTGGAGGGTGACATTTGAAGGCCTCTCTTGCAAGACTTGTAGCTAGAGGTTTGACCTCAACCATTTCTTGATCCCTACCAGGAGTTAGAAGCGCTACGCGAGAAACTCACAAAGAAGGAGCGACACTTGGTGGGACATGTTCTCACACATTGTTGGTAATATACAATCCCCAAGCATCCCTGAATTGATAATTTCCCACGTCGTTTTCTTCGTAAAGAGATGAAAGCAGGCTGGTTCTTGACGCAGACGCGTTCCTCGTTCCCTTGCAGAAACTCAGCTGAATCTTTTGATCATTGGCTGCCTTTTCACTTCCTCCATTCATCTGATAGGAGTTCTGGCCGCCGAAGCCAAGCCTTGCACGAGAGTGGGACGGGGGGCAGGGCCTGGAAGATTTTCTTGGCATATTTTTGGCCATCACGGCGCAGGTTAAGTCTTGTGTGGCGAAGGAGTCACGTTAGAAAAGCTGGACCAGTGTGGACCAACAAGATTCCCCTTAACAAGGCGTTTTGCCTGCTTCTTCTTGTTGATCCAGATGCTATCCGTTCAGCACAGACGGAAGGTGTGGGTATCAGCTGGATGGAGTGTGCCTGTCAATGTGCCCCCTGCATCTTTGGAGAGCCGAACGCATGGTTGTCCAATACCCATGATCCAGACCTGGCCAAGTCCGCTTGTGATCCTTCAAACAGGTACGGAGCTGAGCATTGCATTTGTGGCCGACCAGTGATCACGCCGAAAAAACAAGCGCGATAGCTCCATTCTGACTCGGGCCTTTACTTTGCACTGGGAGGATTAGCTAGGACATACTGTGTATATACAAGAAGCTACTAGGAACAAGTGCCACGCTAGTAGCAACAGGTGCCTTACTAGTAGTAACAAGAAGCTATTAGTTTTAAATATACATAAAACTGTTCAGCCCTTCGGTCAAACCGGTCAAACCTATTCTGGAGGTTTTCATCAGGGGCACTAGGGGCAATGACAGGAGCCACAGGCATGGGACCGTGCAGCTTGCTTCCCCCCTCCTTGTTTCCACGTGACCACTGTTTGCCAGATCCTCAACGCGGGCTTGGCCAATCGAGCGATTGGTGCTGGAGTCCTGGACACTGTTCACACACCAGCACATCCTTAAAAGCAAGCAAGATCATCAGCTCGTAGCCTCACTTTCTACTTCCCGAATGTGGCTCTCAAGAATAGAAACAACCCCCAACGGACAGCAATGGGAGCCTACTCCTTTTCAGGCCACTGCGATGAATGAGACGCTGGGACCTTGGGTGCCATAAACACGCAGACGTAGCTGTTAACGATGGTTTCGTTCTGCTGGAGCAAAGTTCTGAATATATATCTATCAAAGGCAGGAGTTTTGCAGTGAATGCAACTCAGGGTGTTTGTAGGAGCTCTTAGCTTGCGTCGCTGTCTGTGTGGGCGCGCGCGTGTTTGAGTGAGGTCCTCGAGATCGCACTCCATCTTCATGATCACGGTGGGGATCATTTTGTCGGCAGAGTTTGGTCCTGATATTTGTGACGAATTTGCCTGCCACTGCAGAATGCTTGCCTGCACAGGGACGCACACAGACGGTTGATTTACATAGTAGTTGAGCTTTTACTTTTTGGTGGTTGGCTGAGGGGACTTTTCAGTTTCCAAATAAATGGCTTGGACTCACTTGTCAAATTGTTTGTGTGGAAAAGTTTCTATTTAGGCTATATATAAATCATTGGCATGGGTGCATGAGATAGTATTCTGCAATTTCAATGTGTTCAAGCACTTTGTCGAGTGTAGGTGGAGCAATGCGGTCTTGGCACGGATGGTGCTGGCCACATTCGGGTGCCAAACGGGGAGGGAAAGAGTGGGACATGGTCATACATGGCTCTCTTGCAAAGGAGTCAAATCACTTTTGATAGGGAGAAGCCTGCTGCGTTGAGGGAAGAGAAAGCAGAAGCATGAATGACAGGGGCCAAACTGCAGTGTCACTCATGTATAGATTCGCCCACGGCAGTCGATTGCACTCTACAGCTTCAACATCCTTTGACCACCCAGCGGGCTGGTAGCAGCTAGGTGGGGAAGCTGAACATGGTGGACTTGGCGGGCTCTGAGCGACAGAGCAAGACAGGCCAGCCATTCAGGAAAGGAGCACCAGTCAATCTCTTTCCCTCAATGAATTCATACACTAGGCTCTTAGATGTGATGCTTAGCGAGTTTCTTCGTCAATAATTGATATGCAACTGTTGCGTTTTGTTACTCTGTTATATGTACAAATATGCAACTTGTTATACGTTATATTTTTTACAAGATCAAGACGCCGTTGATTCGATTCTCTTCAATCACTCTAGTTTATAGGAACAAAACTCGGAAGCTGCCGTCACAGTCAACGGCCTCCCACCAAGAATCAGTGCTTTGAACTTTCGCATGACTGACCCAGGTGCCACGGGCGAACGCCTCAAAGAGGCAACAAAGATCAACCTCTCCTTGTCTGCACTGGGGACCGGCCTGCTTACCCGGCAATGGTTTTGCATGGTGGAAAAAGAGGTTCGAGCCTCTACAGTATTATATATTCTGTTCTGGCAACTTGGAACCATGTTGGTGGTCTTGGCAACTCTTGCTTTGTCCCCAAAGAGTTTTGTGGCTGCGTGTAGTGATTGAGCCACTCCAGGAATGTGATCTCTGCGCTTGTGGATGGGTGACTTGGCATCGCTGTACAGTCTGGCATGAAATGGGGGGAAGGCGAAAGGAATCCTTGTCTGGCTGAAGAAAGATCCCCGTCTTCGGGCTTATCGACTTGCTGGACTTACTTCGACTACTTGAGGCAAAACTTTAAAGCGATGGCCTCCAACCTAATAGCGGTAGGGATGGCCTCCACCTAAGAGCAATGGCCTCCAACCTGGAAGCAATGGCCGCCAACCTAATAGGGAACATGCTGCTTCGTCAATGTAGCTGTCTTCAATGCTAGGTGCGGAGGTCTCATAGTTGCCAATGTGTTGGACGTCTCGGCCCAGCCCCGACTGCCTTCAGGAAGTCATCCCACATCCCATACCGAGACTCCAAGCTCACCCGGTTGTTGCAGGAGCTAGCAGGGTAGCATGAGAGGTTGTGCTTCTTAGATGCAGTCGGGGTGGTAGACGTGCCAGTTACCATAAAAGAAAAGGCTGAGTAGCTTAAATGGTTTTTGGCGTTTCCACAGAAATCGAAGGGTGTCGTTTTATTTTTTTTCAAAGCTGCTGTGCGAATCATCATGTTGGTGGTGTGAAGGACTCCTTGGGCGGCAACACAAAGACCGTTATGGTGGCCAATGTCGGGAAAGGAGCCTCAGTAGGTGCAGACAAGGTTTTGACTTGGATGATTTGGTGTTCAACACACTGAAAAAACTGGTTCAAAGCCAGCACATGGAACTACCGCTGATTGATCCGCATGCACCAGCTTCGATTTCCTCTAGGCTGCCCTGGGTTTCCCCACCTGACATGATCCAAGGCCTGCAGATTACAATTATGATGAGACCGCATCAACTTTGCGGCGCGGAATTGCGCAGTCAAAGTGTTTTGCCTGGGCGAATGGGCGGACATACCAATTACTAGTCAGAGGAAGTAAATATAAAGTGAGTGACATTCCCAGTTCGAGCACTGGCCGGGTCGGAAAAACAAGAGCACTGCCAGGTACGCATACCGTGCAAAGAGCATTAAAAACAAGCCCCGAATCAACGAAGATCCAAAGGCGCGGATGCGGCCGAGAGAAAATCCAAACTGTTTTCTGAGCTGGTGGCCAACCGAGATCCGTTTGTGCAAAGTTGATTGGTATCATAAGTTTAGGGCCACAGTTTGCAATCTTCAGCTTGTCGTGCGAGGACGCGATGATCCGGGAGTACCAAGAGGAGATTATGAGACTCAAGGTGGGATGATCTGCTGACCTGTCTTAAGACACTGGGAGGTCCTGTGACCGGGGCATTGGCTTTGGGCCAAAGGCTGTTGCCACTCTACTGAGACGTTGAGCATTCTCGAAGGCGGAGCTTGAAGCGGCCGGTGGAGAGGTGGACGAGCATGGCGTCCCAGCCTCGGTGCTGGGTTCAAGGGACAAGATGCTGAGTTTTTGCCAAACTTGGTAGAGTTGCCTCAAACAGTTTACTGTTGGGGTTCTCTCCGTGCCGCTGAACGCTGTGTCCGGGTCTTGTCCTCCTCTTGTCCTCCTGTCGCTGGCCAACCCTGTGTCCTCCTCTTGTCCTCCTGGTGCTCGCAGTTGTCCTGCTATTGTCCTCTGGCCACACTGGCCAACCCTGTGTCCTCCTCTTGTCGTATAAGCCTCTCTGCTCAAGTAGGCCAGAAATGCCTGCCCCCCCGGGAGCGGGGTTCCGCTTCCACCACGTGACGCTCGGAGCTGTTCATGCCAGCGGTGGGTGCCCCTCCTGCTGCTGTGGATAGCTACCTGGCCGAGCCTTGAGCAGTCCGGTCCCAAGTCCGGGCGTGGACCGACGAGCCTTGGAGACAGATTGCAACGTTTTTGGTCCACAAGAGGTGAGGGTTCCCTTCGGCCCACGACGAAGGGAGGAGGAGAACTGATAGGGATGGCACCCACTAGCTGACTCCAAAAGTATAGTGGGATAGGGCAACCAGAAGGCCCCATCGGGGCAAAAGGGCTCAGCTCAACCTGGAGCACAAAGAAGAGCTATAGGCGTGCTGTCCACCGCCTGCAGCGTGATGGCTGCACGACGTACAAAGGACGACTACTGATGATCAACCAGCTGCCGCAAGGTATGTCCACCACTCCTGCGGTGCAGTCGACCTCCAGACCGACCTGTAGCTCCCACCAATCCTCGACCTGGACGACATTCCCATTCCTGCAACGAGCACAGGGACCACCTATGCAAAGGGGAGGCCAACGCTGCTCGTTTCTTTCCTGGAACGCCGGAGGACTCACCAGCGCCACTTGGCAAGAGCTCATGCAGTTCCTGAGTCAGCATGCCATCGACATTGCCTGCATTCAGGGTACCCGCTGGTCCACGACCCTTGACTGGAGCACGTTTGGGTATTGGGCCATCTCGGCAGGCACGGAGGACCGTAGGGATCATGGTGGCCTGTTGACCTTGGTCAGCCATAGACTGTGCCGTCAACAGGACCTGTCAAGCTCCTCACCAATTCCTGGCCACTACAGAGCATGTTGTCAGGGCCACAATGGCTGGATTTCCTTTCAGGACAATTGGGAGGCCCGTTTGGACCATGCACTGCACCAGGAACCGGAGCAAGATGTTCTCTTGGTTTTGCTTGTTGCTGCCAATCAGTATCTCACTTGCCCGCCAGCTGCCACACCCTCAGCACTCATGAAGGACGAACTCATCACGCATGCTGTCAGGTGCTATGCTCAAGCCAACTATATGGGGTCTTCCAAGCCAAGGACTCACTTCTGTCACGCCTCCTGCGTACGACATGTCCTGTGTGTGGCATTCCTCTCATGAACATCCAGCTCTTCGAGGAGCATGCGCAGGCGAGTCACTGGGACCTCTGGCAACTCGGCATGCAACATATGCGAGAGACCTGGCCGCAATGGACTGAGGAAGTCCTCCCATGTGTTTGGTGCGCAGGTTCCCTGAACCTGGCAAGAGGTCCTGTGAAGCTGCACTCGCATCGATGTCAGCTGCTTGCGGCCCTTGCCCTGGCCATCGCCTACCACTCCCGCGAGCTGGAGCCGATGGGCTCGATCTTCGACCTGCGCCTGAAACCCAGTGAGCGCATTCAATGGGCAACGCGGCTCTTCAAGAGGCCCTGCAGGAGGCTGCGGATCCAGCGCTGTATGAGGCGGCCGGCGAAGGCGCAGCGGCCTTTGGTGCTGAGCTGATGCAGCGCGGAATGAGGCCAGTGAGTGAGCGAGTTGAAGCCTGGGATGCACCGGTTGAATCCGATGCCTTGGACCAGGGACTTGTGGAGTTTCTGGCACAGCTGAATGAGAGCTGGCCAGAGTGACTTTTTCTTTTTGAATGCTCCAACGAAGGAGCGGGCCCCAGCCGAATGGCCGTCCAACTGTGACGTTGCCCCGCTGGTGTCGACACGATGCCGCGAAGGAAACAAATGCAAACCTCTTGTCGTCTTCTTGGCACTCCGTGCTTGCAGTTGTCCATTGGCCGTGCTGGAAAAAGAGTTGGCCGCGCTGGCGAGAACTATCCGGACGCCCTCCTCTTCTCCTCTTCTTGCAATCTTTTCGCTCCCGTCCTCCTCATGTTCTTCTATTGCCCTCTTGTTGTCCTTCTTCGGGTCTTCATTGGCCGCGGCTGCCAGCCTATCTCCAGTCGTACTCTTTTCATCATCGTCTTGCGTTTCTCTTGTCTTCTCTTCCTCTTCTCCTCTTGGTCTTCTCTTGGTCTCCTCTTGGCACGCTCTCCTGTTGCCCTGTTGTCCTTTTGGCGTAGTCAGGTCACAGCTTGTCCTTCTTTTGTCCTCTTGGTGCGTCCGTGTTGTTTTCCTTCCCTCATCCTTTTGTACTTTGTTGTCCTCCTTATGTCCTCCTCTGGTCTTTCTGTTGTCCTGCTGCTGTCGGGCTGTTTACGTTGCTTTCCGAGGAGCCACGACAACAGTAATTCTTGCTGGCTAAGCCTTAAGCTGTTTAGGGGTCTATGCTGGTATAACTAGTTTTGGAAGCCCATGGGGCCATCATGGGGCCCCCCTTGCCTTTTTACTCAATTAAGTAGACGCCTTACTTACATACTTATATAAGATTATATAAGTAAGGGACAACGTTCGCTCCTAGCGGCCCTAGCGACTAGTACTTCTAGTAACTGGACGAAGGATAGCTCACGCTTCCTTGAAGAAGCGCCCGGAATGATTTGGTTCTTAGATTTTTAGGAAACTTAACCATCGACCTATATGGGTTCATTTGCTTTCAGTCGAACATTCAAGAACCACGCCGGAAATCTGGAGTGTTTGAGAATGCCGCCCTCGACCTCCAGCACGTTGTGAAGATATGAGATGCGTCCTCCCTCCACTGGGTGGCATGCAAACAACCTGACATCCTTGCTCCGCTCAGATGCCCATCAATCCGCTTGTACCGCGGGTAGAGAAGCAAGTAGAGCCTGAGTCTCAGAAAGATCATCAGGTCGCCAGCTCTGGTTGATGGTCAGGATATAGTTGTGCAATCCAAGATGTCAACACCAAGGGAAAAGAGTGAACGAGATCATTTGATGGATCATGTCGTGTGTCGCCCCATAGGTACGTAGAGAAGATCGTCGAGAGAACTGTGGAGAAGGAGGTGCCGCACACAATCGTTGGGAAGACGCTGCGGCCAGTAGCAAGGGGCAAAACTGGAGACTGGTGAAGCATGGACGGGCAACGCAAATGATAGGTCTGATAGGATATGTGACGCGCTATACCAGCACATCATGTTGTTTTCAGAAACACCGACCTTTCGTATCCTGTCTTAGCCTTGCAATTCAATGATGGCACTATCTCGTTGAGCGGCAAGGTCATCGTGGAGCAAGGGCCAAGCCCAGAGGAGGTGGCCGCGATGGAGGCCCCTTGCGGAGGTCAAGCAGGTCGAAGCTTTGCCAATGTGAGGCAATTCGTCCAAAATGGATGGCCTCCACCTAGTAGCGCATTACCTCCAACCTAATTAATAGCGATGTCCTCCGCCCTAATAGCGATGGCCTCCAACCTAGTACTGTAAATGTATGTAAAAAATGGCACATTAGATTCATTTGTTGTGAATAAACCGGTGAACAGCTTTACAATCATGGTGGGGAATGGCAAGTTTTGACAATGGCTCCAAGGGGGCATTCTTGTTGAAGCGGTAGAAGGCACACATATATATATATATATATATTACTCATTTTTTGCTGGCTAATCGGTCAACTACGACTACAACTGTTCTCCTTCTCTTTTTAAGATGTCCACTGGACTAGGGCCGACCGGCTGTAGGCCCAGCTGCGGCTCCAGAACGAGGAAGCGCGGCAGAAGGCCGAGGCAAAGCGTCGTGAGGCCGGGCGACGGACCATAAATACATGACATTTTCATGACATTTGCACGACCATACATGCCATGTACAAACGGATACCTACTCTGTAATTATATACATACGATGTACATACCGTGTACCCAATGTCATGAGACATTTTCTTTCTACTAGTGAGCCTTGCAACATCCATCACAGCTATTAGGGCGTATTAGGGCAACCTACCTACAAGATCAGGAGTCTAAACTGGTTCCAATTCCATCGGAACCGGAGGGTCACTGTCGGAAGGCTTTAGGCAACCATCCGATTTGCTTGTAACGGGTATCTTCAGATACAAGAATACTTGCTCCGCCCACACACACACAGTTCCCATGACTACACACTCATTTTCAAAAACGACCCGTGACTATACAATCAGACTGATACCACGGTCTTTTTCTTTGCATACTTGGTTGCTACAATTCAAGGCTTTGACCAGGTGCGATTCCGTGATTCTGTGACTCAGGTTGAGGCTTTGCGGGATGTGGCTGAGTCAGAGAGGCAGGTTGATCCGCCAGGGTATGCGTCGTGAAGTAGAACCTCGCGGAACCTTTTTCAATTTTTTCACGAGGTGGAACGGTGGCTCACGATCTCCACTGTTCCATCGTTCCAGACTTTCCAGGTTGCGCTTGATGGCCCAGATTGATGAGCAGGAACAAATTTCAATGCAGGACCATTCGGAACAGGGCAGTCTATAAAATCTATCATTTTCCGATGGTCAATATGCAAAACATCGAGGAGCTGAACGCACCTGGAAATACTGATGCAATCTCATACAACATGTTCATGCTTTCACTGGTCAATCCGCTCTTTTGTGTTCAAAGGTCGACGATTACGATGTAATATTGCAAGAAGCTCTAGCACATCGTCCCGCTTGCCTCGCGAAGCCACGATGTGATCCAAATTTGGTTGTTTTGGACAAGTTTCCGAGGGCATTTTTTGTCATCACTGTTTGATCCACAGTTGTTGGCATAGGTGAATTGGATATATAACTGCAATCCAGGCAGACAAGAACATGTTAACACTTGCTACTTGTGCATGCAGCTTGGCCTGGCTTCTGACGGCTCGCAATGGAGATCGGCCTCCTGTGGCAAGTGAATCATTTAGATTTCGCAGGATTTCCCTATCAACTAGAGTAACTGGAGTATACTATCTTTTGCTTCGGTTCCAGGAGCAACAGCACAAACTTGAGCTCCAGGTGGAGTGGTGAGATCCTGCAGCTACGCTTCGTCGACAAAACCAGACATTTTACAGTAAAGCTTTCTGTGTCAGGCCACAAAGTTTTGACAATTATACAACAGTAGACAGTAAAGGATTGACCATGGTTGGTCATGCTTTCTTGATTTTTCAAGTAATTACGCTGGTTGTACATTTAACCAAAGCATCGAATCCCTTCAGTCCTAAATGTTCTCACGTCCTGGTACCGAAGGCGAGGTTGTCGCAGATGGAGATGAAGATGGTTCAGGGGAAACAGGCATGATCGAGATGAGGAGCTGCCCAAATAGATTTTGTTGACGAGAAAGTATTGGCATTTGGGAAAGTGATAAAGATTGGTTTGTTCGGAGTCTTCAATTGCATCGTGGTTCCCTTGTTAGTGCCTTTCTCCAACGAGGAAAGAGTTGACACAGGTTGATGCTGGAAATAAAGGCACCCAGCAGAGTCATACAAGCTTTTGATACGGATTGTGTTGTTGAAAACAGACCTGAAGAGAAGCCTGATAAGCACCAATCGTTTCTCGGTTTTGAAGCTACCGTATTTCCTCTACTGCAACTCTTTAAATTCACCTTCGGAATTTTGTAGCAATCCACTTCGGTTGTCATCGCCACCCTTTGGCAGATCATGGAGCAAGCCATCCAGCAAGAAGAGGACCTGAAGAGGTCGACGCCTCAGAGGGCCATATCGCACGAGTTGACTGAGTTCACCAGGAATGGCCTTACTTTTGGAAACAATTGAGACTAGAAACGACGCTGAGCAAAGCCCCAGTTGAAGCAAGCCTGTAACAGGTCTGCCTGTTTGAGGTATTTGTATCGGGCATTATGGGGTATTGTATTTCCGCTCAAGTGGTGTAAGAAGCTGACTCAGAATGAGCTGCCTTCAGGCAACAGAGACGACTCCGGAAGCAGCAGGCCATGTTCGCAGCAATGAGTTAAAGTCCAAAAGGTGCATACTAAACAAATCAAAGAGCGCGAACATTTGTAGTGCCACTCACGATCTCGTTGGCGTTCAGATACGAGAAAGGGGGCTTAGTGATGAGTGCAGGAAAGAGAAGAAGAGCTGAAGCGCCAAGAGGCCACCGAAGTTGCAATGAGGAATGTTATCAGAGAAGTTCCTTCTCTTCAAGAGAAACTTGATGATTTTATCATATTTTATCATATATATATATATATATTTTTGATGAGCACATGTCTACCCGCAGAACATGGATATGATAAAAGTCGTTTCTATGTCATACAATTTTGGTGCAGAACTGGCAACAGAGTGGTCCTTCTCACAGGGGTAGGGGTGGGAAGGAATGGTACCCACTCAGCAATCTCCTGTCCTCAACCCGATGCGATACACCCAAACAAGGGCCTTGGTTGGTATTCTGGTACATCAGAGGAGCTGTGCTGGCATTGCAAGGAGCAGCAGAGGCAAGAAAACATGGAGCTGGAAGAGAAATGTGCTTCGCAAGAGGAGCAGGCAGCATGGGCCACCCTACAGAGACAAATATTGTGAAGTGAGAAGGTTGTACGGCCTCATGCATACATTGGTGGACATGTCTGTCACACTGAGGCTTACAGCATTCGCAGCGTGAGTACTCAAGGGCCCCCACAATATCAATGACTCGTAGAAGCTTTGTAAATGCACCCCCGGACGAGGACACCCATCGTGCCTTGCGGATATGCTCATTGCAAGCTTCTTGGTGGACTGGTTGTGCACTCCACTTGCAGGTGCAGAAGCTCACCACGAAGCTGCAGAAGCTCTGGGACAAGTGCGCCGATTGGACTTTGTTTTCTACAGTCCACCCTTTTTCGGTTAGTTAGAGAGCTTAGTACAGGCTAACATGAGGAACTAACATGAGTCACAGGTATCAGAAAGCGCAGCAAGAGATGGTGGACATTCAGCACTTCAATCAGCAGGAACGCGAGGACCGGAGCAGGTGACCCTCCTTCCCAGAATGAGCACCGGCATCATCCGCATGATTCACGGTTAGTCATGCACCGTCACTCTGCGCAGTGCTGCAATGAAGGGTTTGGCTGACCAAATCTCTGCTTTGTTTGATGAAATATGTCAACCGCATGGAGCTTCAAAACTTCCCGCTAGCCACCTTCATCGCAACTTGGGGTTTCGTTAATCTTTCGACTGGGGTGCAGGTGCATGGTGGTGACCAGCATTCTTCCAGGATGTTCATGGGGCTGAGGGTTACAGAGACATCTCGGCATGTGGGCATGAGCGATTTTGTGAAGGAGATGCTCTCGATGATTCGTGATCTCCGGCAAACATTGAAGCTGAAAGTAGGTGTCCTCAGCCGTTGAAAGTGGCGAGCTGGGGATGATTGGTTTCCTGTGTCCCGGCTAATTGCCTGTGTTGGTACTCAGGGTTCGGCCACCCCTGAAGCCAAATGCAAATTTGCCAGTGGATTGATAGGTAAGTTTGTCCAATTATGCTCTTACTCTTACCTTCCTTCTAATATTCAGTCTGAAATGGCATATTCTGCCTGTCTCGCTAAGTCCTTGATCATGGAGTCGTTCGTGCCCATGAAGGAGAGCTGACAGCAGCCTGCTGCGATCGTTGCTAAGTCTTTGGGCTTGATTTCAGGCCAAATTGAACAAATATCCAAGACAGTGTTGGATGGTTCCATGCCCGCAGGAGATCCAGAACACTCAAGAGCGTGCTGTTTGGGATCCTGAAGAAGACGAATGGAGAGCTCCGACCTGAAAATTCTGTTTGCTTACAATGCCACAGGGGATCCATTCAAACCGCAGCTGCACTCTGTGATCAGTCCTTGTTGCTCCCACTTGTACGCGTTGTCAAAAGGACACCCGTCCCCAAATGACCGCTGCACTAGTGCCAACACACACCCTCATAGCATGCTTACCCTGGGTTGATGCCCGCGACTCTGAGATTGCTCCTATTGCATTGGACAAGGACGGGATCGAGACGACTGACTTCATGGAGTCAATGTGTTCGCAATGCGTGCAGTTACCCAGTTACCAGCAACTGACTGGCTCTGTCCGAGAGCGTCAGGAGAATCGGCCGCAGCGACCAGGATCTGTTCTGGGGCTGCCCAGGTCTGGGGCTTGGACGCAAGATTGAACAGATCTGAAACAGCCAAGCATTCAGATCTCAGATCCTCTCGGCCTCTCTCTCGGCCTCCCTTCTCAAACTCCCACTGAGCCCTGTTATCTCAGGCCCACCTCGGAGTTCACACGTCTCAACCGAGCCATGGGTGATGCAAACCCAAGGTGGGGCTGGCTGGGCTAAGTACCTAGGTGCTGCACATAGCACATCACATGTTTTTGCACTGGAAGCCTTGCAGGTACATGTACGACTCCATCCTCATCACTGACTTAGACTTGCCAGGGCATCTCAGGAAAAGTTGCGATCGACAAACACTTGATTGCTGATCACTACGCTGGACATTGCTGCACCCAGCTGTAATCCAGCTTGCTCACGATGTTTTTCAGGTTCTCAGAATCTCGCACTCATATGATAAGCTTCCAGGTGATCTTGTGGGTTGATTGCCTGCATTGGTGTATTCTGTTTCTTTGAGTGTCTATGTCTTTCCCTTTGTGTTCAGGATGCTTTTTTGGTTTCTCTGTGATCTTTGTGCCGTCTTCGTCATCCACTTCGTCTATTGAGTGTTTGTGTTTGTTTCTTTGCATGGTCTCATATCTCCTTTTTCGTCCTGTTTTGTCTGCAACCCAAATCAGAGGCCGGGGATGGAGCCCTAGAAAGAAACAAGACACAACTGTGCAAACAGTCAAACATGACACAACTGTTGGAAATCCCTCGGCGCGCTGAGCAGCCTCGACACTTGTGCCGTGGGCCACAAAGATGGACTCGGGCTGCTATAACACTGTGTGCACTTGACTACAACGTTCATGACTGATCTACTCCAAAGTTGTTGGAGATCGGAAGGAAAGAACAAAGCAATGCCAGCTAGCAGTTGGCACAGTCACAAATAGACTCTTGTATTCCAAGCCAGAGCCCAGATGAGGCAAGACAAGCCTGGCACGTACAAGGCTACACTACTACACAACGGCTTGTGCAGTTTTGCCCATCATCGCCACCATCGCCGCCCCGCCACGTGGCACCACGACCACGCCTCGACGTTCCAGAGGGAAGCACACGACAACTGATAATTTTATGCCAAAAAACGCTCAGGCCTGAGCGGACAACAGAGGACTACGAGGCAGCTTTGGCCGGAAAGAGGTATGCAAAATGCAGCGTCAAATGCCTGAAGCAAATGCCTGAATCCCTGAAGACAGGAATTATTCAGTATTATTGCTTCATGGATCATGTGGATCATGGAGGTGCCTCAATATCTTCTAAGAGTGCTTCTGTTGGGAGGTCCATCCTGAGCTGGGTGACCGGATCGAGCGGGCCTTGATGCTGGCTCTCTCGCAGGCGGGATGGTTGGTTGGTGTTGCAAGTGCTGGAGGACGTGTGAACGTCCAAGTCAGGTCGCTGCTTACCCGTTTGTCCCATCTCTAAGTCTACACTACTCGTACTTCTTTGGGACCGAGCTTGGCACTTTTCATTCATTTTTGATCGAGAAGCCGTACGCCAACCAGGTAAATCGATGTACAGTAGTAACTAGTTTACTTTGGTTGTAGGGATGAAGAAACATCCTTGACTTGGCAGGAGGAAGAAGAGAAGGAGGCCGTCCCAGCCCAACCACCAGCAGAGTTTGTTGATTTGAACCGTCAAATTGTGCCTGGAAGTTTTCTTCATGGCATGTAAAGCATGGATTGAAGTCTTCCATCCCTCCCTTTCAGCTAGAATCCAGCTAGAATTGCCAGCGCTGCCAGTCCCCGGTTCTGTTTCTTGTTGCCATTCACAACATGTCACCACGCATCAAAAACAGGAAGCTTGAGCATGAGACCCCCTCAGGTTGGCGAGTTGCAAGCTGACATGCTGTTCTGATTTTGTTTATTTCCGCAGCTTTAGGTGCTTGGATGCTCGTATTTCGAATCTCAAAATGAGAGAAGTGAGGTTGTGAAGAGTGCTACTCGTACCGATCTCACTCAATCGATCTCCATTGCATCATCCAACCATCTCCAATATGACATATTTATACATATTTGGGCTACTCCACCCTCCGAGGACCCATGATCCTCATGCACAGGCCAAGTATATCCACTACTCGTACCTCCAGGTAAGATCCTTAAGATCTCATCAAATCATGGCCAAAAAGCACGGTCCCTGCAGAAGCTGCACGAGGCGTGTAGCATCTAGATGAGCCATGTCGCAGAATGGGGCACTTCCAAGACGACGCCAAAGGCCGCAAGAGGTTTATTCTAAACAACGAACCCAAGGGTTCCACGCTCGATTTGGACTCTTGAACCAATCACTCCAAGGAATGCGACCCTAATCTCCACGACTTTAATCCTGGTATGTCTTGCCGGACCAGCAGGAGACACAATCTTGGCATGGTCACACTCTGGCTGCTCGGATCAGGCTTGGTTTGTGTGAGAATGGGTGAGGGTGCGTCAGACAGCCTCACTTCCCATCCTTGGGAACCACTAAACCAGCAAACAGTGTTTGGAATGAGTTTTGTCCATTTGTATATTGATCAGCTTGTGCATTTAGCGAACACTTTTGAGCTTTTCTCTGCGCATTTGACCAAAGCTAGAAGATCATGTAGGGCACGTTGACCATCTTTCTAGCGACAAGATAACTCCTGAATTTGTGTAGATCTTCAGCCAAAAAGTACGGTTTCTCTGCAAGGACTTCTTCAAGAGTATTAGGTACACTTCTTGGGCGGATATCGGATACCAAATTTCCAACCACCAAAGGACCCGGGAGACCAATAGCCCTTCGATGTGATGTTCAACACTGTTTCAGTTTTACAACATCCAACATCCATGATCAGGGTGATAGTTTGTTTCAATGGCGAGTGTCCGATATTCTGCGAGTAAAAGATGCTTTCTCTGACCTTTTGAGGTGGTGTGTTTACAAGGTTGCTTTTCTTGGAGAGTCGGATTCAGTAGGACTTGAAAATAGACGAAAATAGTTTGAAAGCTATGCTTTGACAACTACTTTGCTGCCATACTTTCTTGCCTCCTGACTTTTCGGAATTCTCCATTCAGTGCGGGACCGGTTTTGGTTGTTCCTTCCTGTGCCTTGCAGGTGGGGTCTTTGCCCTGTGGCCACGAGGCGGACATAAACTGACTATATAAAGTCAGCGCGAGTTTTGATCCATATATGGCATTCAGACCACTCAGACGTAGACTCTCTCCAGACTGTTGAGGTTCCTCTGGAATGCCGCAGGCAGGCAGAGTGGTTCCAGCTTGATGCAGGTCGCGACTTGGCACGCGCTGCCTTGCGGACACGCATGGCCGACGCTCCCAGAGAAACGATAGAGAGGCCAAGCTCGGTTGGAAGGGTTGGCAAAGGGCGATTTCATCGTGGACGTGAGTTGAATCGCACCTACTGTATGTGCCCAAATCACGAAAGCTAGCGAAGCTAGCTGGAGTTACTCTTGCGATAGCAAGGTTTCTTTCGACCGGGTGCAAATCCTAACCCCTGATTTTTCAGGTCGAAGAC